CTTTAAGAAAGCATTAGTAATAACCCTATTTAATTATTGTCTGAAATTTCTATTTATTAGGGTGTTGTTGATTGTATCAGTTTATTTACTATATAGTGCTGTCAGAAAAGAGTCATAGTCACTCATGGTCACTAGTTTCTTTAAACAGTACGTAGAGAATGTGTGAATATCCATATTTTCCGAATTCTTGCAGTGGAAACATCCTAATAGCTGCTGAGTTTTAGTTCCTTATGGTCAACAGCTTCTGGAACCGTTTGACTGAAAATGACCACGTGAAGCTTTCAGATCTGATTAAGCCACATGTGAGTATCCTTAAGCTAAACTTAAACCAATATATTAACTAGTTACTTTTCATGCTAAAAACTAACAACACAAGAGTTTTTAAAACGATTTACTGCCAATCAGTGGTTCCCTGTGTCTTTGGTTTGTGGTCTCTTGAAAACCTGTTGTTTAATTTTAGTTGTAGGTCAAATAGGTAAATTTCCACAAATGCACTATAGCTCTGAATCTTTCTTCAGTCACTTCCCCTAAGAGGTGGATGTGAGAACAAAGACATTTAATGAACAACATACATTAAAAGGTCTTTACCCCGCCAGCTCCTTAGTACAAAGTCTGGGTCATCGCTGATCATGGCAGTTTGCACCAATCTGGGAGCAGCTGCGGGTGATACTCAGGGGAATCCACGTGGAGTGTGTTTGTTGTCCTGTGTCCTGCTTCTTGCACCCTATAGTAAGGTAGCATCCTTGTTAATCCACACATGAGATCTTCATCTGTGTGACACATGTGAGGGGGAAAAAAGTAGGACAATAACCTAACCTGATTTCAACTGAGACTTTAACCGAGAAAGTTCAAAGCTCAGAATTTAAAAAAAGAAAAAAAGAAAAAGAAAAAGAAGAAGTAGGAACTTATTTCTTAGACTTTCCACGCCATTAGTTTTCTCAGGACCTGTCAGATTGATTTTTTCCAACCCCTGCAGGGACCTGACCACTAGTTTTGGAACCACCTGTAATTAAAAAACCTTGCCGTATTAAAAAGGTTTTAAAAAAAAAAGAAAAGAAAAATGATGCAAAATATAAATTACACTTACTGTTAATATTTGAAGTACATTTTTCTGATTCTTCTACCAATGAATATCTGTGTTAAATATGTATCTGTGTAACTGCTAGTACTTTTACCATTTTGTATTCCTGAAAAAAGCTCTTTACTAAATGAAGCAGATGGCACAGACAATGCAAATCCAACTTGAAAAATGTTTGTTTTTATTTTTCCACTTTTGATTGTATGCACAGACCTTCAGTTTAGGGGACTGACGGAAACGATGAACTGACAGATGCGTTCGATATCATCCACGACCATTTCATTATTGCTACATCTGAAAAAAATCCTTTCTTGATAATGCAACTCAATGTAATTCATCAAAGGAAGCATTTTATGATAATGTACAAATGTTAAATAACTCAACACCAGAAGTGATACAGAAACAAAGCCCACATGTAAGGGGAAGATGAGAAGGAAACATACGGGACTAAACACGACTTGATGCTAATAAAGCTGTGTTTGAACCTTGCACACGTTGTTTCACTGATGCAGGTAAAAGGCGGAAAGTTTTTCTTCTCTGCAGAACAATAGTTGGCACTGTTAACGGGTACAAACTGAATAAAAACCTATAAAATAAGATCTGATAAGATTGTATTTCCACCAGGAGAGGCTTTTTTTACACTTTGATAAAGCTCAGTGTGGGAGGAACAGTTTTGTCGGGAGGCTTGTGGGTTACATCACCAGCTCACGCTCATCACCAGGACCTGAAACACAAAAAATAAGACGGCGATGAATGTGGGTATCGGCAGTGCAGTTTGCTCTTCAGTAAAACAGAAGTTTAATGAAGGCTAGTGTTAAAAATAAGTATAAGGAAGAAATCTAAAGCCAGAGTACAATGAAAGATTTGGGCATTTTAGTTCAGACTGCATTGACTTTGCAGACTTACATGAGTTCAAAGACACAGCCATAAAGAACCATCTTCAGCAACAAGCAACTGGTTGATTATTTGTCCTTTTCTCTTGTTATTGCACTTTATTTGAATATAACTGATGGTGAAATACTATTCCCTGCTTTATTTAGGAAGACTCATTACTTGTACTAAAACAAGAATGTCTACGCAAGCATTGTACTACACAGTCCAAGTAATAAATTCCTTTTTAAAAGACATTTTGTTTGTGTTTTCAGTATCACGAAGTAAATCTGGTTGGTAACATGCATGTGCATTTCAGACAGTTCATTGTGTTACCTTAAAAAAAAAACATGTATTTTTATCTTTTGCACACCAGATACTGATTATTTAATTGCCTATAGAAAAAGATGGTATCTTCACTTGATACATTAAATATATTTGATATATATATGTTCAAGAGTTGCTTCAAAGCAACACAAAAAGAAATTAGCTACTTAAAACTGCATTGGCTCTGCAGCACTAACTAAAAAAGTGTCCATATAGTTGATCAGCTGAGGTGGGAGTCAGCTGTTTGCATTCTTATAACCTCTCATTAGCATGAATGTCTCTTCGCTGTTAGAGGCAAACTACAATTTGGGTAATGACAGGCTTGGTGAATGTAGTTCGGCAAACATAAAATAGTGCCTACTTGAAACTGGTTACAACAAGGGTTGTGGAAATGTCGGAATAACTGTATTGTGATTCTGGAAAGAGACACTGATTCAAATGGCTTTTTATGGTGCTTTCAGCACAAGGCAAATGCCGTCTGGTTCCATTATATTCAAGATAAGGGCAAACCATTTAAAATATGATAGCACATAAACGCCATCCAGACAGATAAATGGCGTTACAGGAATAAACTGAACTTTTGTGATGAACCATCTCCTTAACATGAATATCCTCTTTAGCAGCTACTTCTAGCCAAAAGGGGTCATCACAGCAGGGCCTGCTGCATGTTTGAATTGGCAGATGTTATTTTATACCAGATGCACCACATGGCACGACCCCCAAGGGATTTATGTCTCCTCTTGGGATCAAACTGGGGGTCTTTGGCTTGTTAGGCAAATGTGTAAACCACTGCACTGTGGGCAAATATTCTCTTTCTATATTTCCAGGGCGAGTTATGAATGCACACCATTTAACCACTGATTCTTTTCCCTCCGCTTATCAGCAAGTTACAACACCAGCTCTGGCACGGACAATAATAGACAGTTTTCAATGCCATCTCTTTGAACCAGACGCTGACATATGTGCAGATATGCTGTCTCATCCTCCGACCTTACATCACCTCCCTATGATTATATGCTTGGAACACTGCGGATCAGTCAGCCATAAGCCTGTTAGTCCTCTGCTGGCCATATTTATTCTGGCTTTAGATATCCAACACGTGACTGCCCGAATTGCTCAGTTCAGTCTACTTCCTGGCTGCAGTTGCGTGCAGGGAGAGCAGCTGACTCTCCAGGTGAAGGTCGACTTCTGAATAAGTAAAGAGAGGGAACGCTGCAGTAATTTCCCACTGCCTCACGTAGATTTTACACATAACAAAGTGAACCGAGTAGTTTTCCTGTAACGCCCCACAAATAATGAGCTGCCAAAAGATCCAGTTTCCCACAGACAGCCCCCTCAAATTCCCACGCACTCTCCCTTCTCAGTAATTCACCTCCTGCTGCTTCATCCTGACTTCTGTCACTATGGCAACAGCTACATCTGAGGGCAAAGACTATGCACATCCTCCCTTTTTTTTAATCTGAGATTGCAGGATTAGTGCAGCCAGAGGCCTTTAAAACCTGCTCTTGGCTTGCATGCCGACTCGTGTGTCTTTATTTCCCTCTGTGCTGTCGAGTCAGTGTCAGTGTGACCAAGTGTTTTTTTTTTTATTGCAACAAAACAGAAGGTATTATATAAGCTGCAGAAGCAATAAAAACTCATACCTGTTGACCTTGACGTGGTCACCAGGTGGCTGTGGGAGCAGATCAGTAGCCAGAGAGGGCATTTTCAGAGTGCACCACTACTTTACTGTAATCGGCATGACCAGGAGAGTCCTGACACTGATGCATTGCACACTGCTTCTCCTCCCTCTTGTTCCCTTGAGAGGACGGTGAAACGGGCCCTGCTGCGGAAGTCGGTGTCCTCCGATGCTTTCATCAGCACGGGTATCGCGCACATGACCCTCCACTGCTGCATTGTCAGCGGTTAAGTGTTCAGCCCAGGGCATTATTTTCATGCTGTGTCACAGTGCATGTACAAAAGGATCTCTCATTTGCTCTGAGGGTCCAGGATCATCTGCGATCTGCCTTTTCTTTTTCTTATGCTTATTCTTCTCTTCCATGAGTGCTCCCTTAAAAGCCTCTGCAGTTGTCATGGAGTTGTGCTTCCTGGTAAACAATGACTCTTTTCATTCCAGCAGAGCTTTCAGTCCAGTAGCTGAGATCGATGGAGCAGAAGGCAAAGAGAAGGGGTTTGCTGCTGTCCTAAAACTCTCACGTCTATCATGAAGTCCGCTGCATGTGTTTCACAGGCGTTACTGTTAGTTTGAAATCTCATTACATCCACGATACAAAATTATTTTGTTTGTGTTGATAATAAAAATGATGAAAAATGTAGCAAAATCAGCTGATGGGTAAAGATATGTGAGGGAAAAAATAACATTGCAAGTGCTTATGGGTAGAAAGGTAAAGCTGTTGAGTGACTGAGGCCATAATGAAGGCAGGACCCAAGCACATGACCAGAAGTAAGGAGTCCACAACAAAGCTATGATTATTTCTCATCGAGACTGGCTTTGAGCTGAGCTTCCAGGGCCATTTTATCAAAGGTACGCATGTTGGTCTCCTCCCGCACTTTGTCTCGCACGTGAAAAGAGGCTCTAGCCACAGATCGGGCGCTCTCTAACACTGCCTTCTTCTCCTTGAAGATCTGCTCACTCTTCTCCAGCTTCCTCTCGATGGACTGCAGCAGCTCCAGACGCCTCTGC